TTGCATAGTTGGGGGATAATGTGTCAAGTGACTGATTGGACAACGCTTTGGCGTTGTATGTGATGGGTACACTGTTGGAGTCTGGTATGGTATACAGTTCTACGCTGAGCGATTGGTTTCATAGTCAGCGGTTCCACTCACCGATTCATATAGTGAGAAATGGACTTGTAGCTCATACAGAGTACAAGTTAACACTCTGTCCATTCTAAATACAATGTCAGTAGAGTGTCGATGCAAGGTCATCTGTGGACGCAGAATTATCTCATAGTCATAGATAAATATCAATCAGGACGATGCAAAAGTTATTAGTATTTCAAACTATTAAGTGAACAAATATCTCTAACCCATGACTGATCGGAATTGAATTGCCAGTAATATAAAATACCTCAATGTTTGTGCAATAGCTGATAGGCCATTTTATCAGTTTTGTTGCTCAGAAGTGTCACATAGTTAGTCCTATCATCGGGATTGTTTTGAAAATATATTCAGAAGATTGACTGGATAGGTCAGATAAGTGGATGTCTAATGTTCATCATTTATGATTGAGATGGTCATATTAGTAAAATATATTTGAGGTTGGTTGTTCACATTTGTAGCTGACCTGCCGTCACCCAAATGTTTTCAGGTAATATCTGTGAATGAACTGAGATTCATTGGGAAAGAAAGCTTAGTTTGGTTAGAAGTATCCACGGAACTTCCACATGAATAGACATACCTTTCTGAGTGGAATAAATCTCTACTCAGCTAACTTTCCGCTTCGTATTCTCTGTCCAGTGTACTAATCCGGCTAGTTATTGTAGTAGTGAAGTTTTACTGCATCCCAGATGAAGCCCATCTGTGTCATTAGATTTAGGGACTACCCAATACATCGGAGATTTATCACACTGAATAAAAAATCGACTGTTGCTACTCCACCAACCGACACAGTTTCAGTCCACATCCGTGTCCCAGAGAAATGGGAATGAAGACAGAATGAACAACCACAAATATGAAAGAAACAGGAGGAGGAGAAACGAATGGAACACACTGAGTTGGGTGAATAAGAGACAGACATGCATTACAGGGAAGGCAGAGTGGGGGGGGATTTCGACAACAAGATGAGACAGGCCTATCTAATCTAAAGTTCAATGTGGTAATGGGTTGTCTGTGAAAGAAACTGTTTTCCATTCGAATCACACCCAGAAGAAACCACAAAATGTACTTGTTGTTCAAACTGGAATTGAAAGAGGCGGTATGGTATTAAACAGACAGGGGTTATGGACATCAGTCTTGTTTATGCACACTTTATATCTACTGGAATTCGCTGACGAGTTGTAGGTGGAAATCGTGGACAATACTAGTTTTCTTGTCAGCAGTGTCATTTAAGACTCCTGTTGAAGACGTCATCATTAACCGACATAGGTTGAGAATGACCTAATACACACAGTCTGTGATCTGATGCATAGATCGGTAGGAGAGATTTGAAATGGGAACACACAACAATCTTGTTCACAGGAAACCGATTGATTCTTTGGGGAACTCACAATTTCATTGAAGCAACTCTCCATCAGGTTAGTATTCTCAACGAAGCTGAAGGTCGTCGAAAAAATCATCAAATTTGATCTAATAAACTGCTGCTGCTGCTGCTGCTGCAAGAAAGAGAATCAGCCATCCAGTTTGCAGATCTGATTGGAACTTGGAAGCTATGAAAACCAGAAAAGCATACTGCATTTGTTGCACAAGGAGTGGCTAACATGACTCGGTAGCTGAATAGACACCCAGACTATTGAAGAGATCGTTCGTTTGTTCAGATCCTCATGGGAACAGCATTATTGCATAGGTGGAAGGTACATGCAGTTGACTAGCCTCAGATAGGACGAACCGTGTATCTCAGATTCCAATGTCACTCACTATCCATCATCACTCTCAGACTGATCCAATGAGATATCGTTACTGTTGATTGGTCAAAGTAGTTTTCAGATACTCTTGTCAATCACTATTATATAACGCAGACATCCGTCTAACCGTTGTCCATCTGAAATGAACGAATGTATGTTGTTCAGACCTCTACTACTCTTTGCACGCATGATTTAATGAACTTGCATTCTCAGTAACCAAACACTGTGAGGTTTGATGAAAATTAGGTAGTTCAAATGACTGTATGACGTTCAAATATGATGTGAACGTCTAATTCCGTTGGTCGATTTCATGTCTGTTATTCGATCTGTCCTATCTCAGATAACTACGTTACCATTCACATCGAGTTTACTATTAGCAATTGATGTAACAACGTACGGATGCTCTCCTATCTCTAATTTAGGAGTAAAATGTGGATACTGTGGTGGACTGTAACTCGATTTTAGTGTATTTCAGTTAAACTAGGCTTAGTGAATAGGGTGAAGTGTGCACCGTTGGAATAAGAAATCTATGACAAGAGATTAGATACATCAGGAGTAGTGTTACTGTTTGTCTTATGCCACCGTTGATTGAACCGAAATGATCGGTCTCTATTGGCATATATATGCAGGTACATCCATGTGACGAGTCGCATGTAGGACGAAATGCGCCTTGTGGATTCCACTGCTAACCAGTACTCATCATCACCATGTATCAAGAATACCTTGTGTACCAATAATTACCCACCAAAATTTATCACTAAATTCATAAGAAGTCTCTAAAAACAATATGAACAATGTTGGTAGTAACACAGATATTATCAATAATAATTGTACTCATAATTGTAATATCATTAACCTGAAGCCAGTGTGGAGATTTTCTGCACTGCACTCGACATAAAGAACAAGATTCGGATTTTCAACACCAATCAAGTCAAGGCAGTGAGTGCTTCCGTATGTCTCAGATACTTGGCGGGTTACGGAAGGCTTTTCCAACAAACTACACACATTCATCAACAACTGCCATCTACGCTAGAAGATCAGATGACCAGAATAGTAAGAATAAGAAGTAACAATGAACTCTGGCTGGTGACGAAGCAACAAAGCAAGAATCTATCGGTGAACAAATATGCACTGGAAGGGAGTGGAGATGGATTGGGTATAGACTGAGAAGGCCGACTGGGTACATCACGCTCCAGGCCAGTTGCTCGAGTGGAACGCAGATGGGAAACGATGAGTTGGACGTCCGACGCTAGGGTGACATGGAGGAGATCGTGCGAGGAGGAAATGAGAGCTTGTGGGCTGTCGTGGTACCAGGTTCAATAGTTTGCAGAGAACGGAGGAATTGGAGACGTGCTACCGAAGGCCTATGATCCATTAGGAACCCAAGGGACAAAATATTTATAATGGTAATAATGATAGTAATATTGGCGACAGGGTAGAGGAAGGACTAACAGCCTTCACTGTGGTACATACCATACAAACAAGGTACCTGAGAAGCGTTGCAAAGATTTCTGAATGAGGCTGGTTGGGACTAGAGTGGCACTTCGTATTTCAAACTGGCTTAGAAACGGGCTTTTTGATCCAATTAGTCGGAAAACTTTATCTTATCAAATTGCTAGCTGTGACTGCAGGGTCAAATACACAGTTCGAATTAAAAGACTGGCGTCAAGGCACAAAAGTTTAGCTAAGTGATGATTAGTATAGTCTAAGAAGATCAGGAATCTCGATGGAAGCTCAGCTATGCAATTGCATACACAATAGGGAGGGGTAAACCGGCAGTATTAAAAACTGAATCCTTTTGGGTGGAGGGAGAGATTGATAATCGAACCAACACCGAAAGCATCCCATCACAATGATTCTGTACCTGTCCCAGATATATGAAAAATTCTACTACCCTCATCAACACAAAGAAGGAACGAAACTTAGAACTATATAAATTCCGTCCGATGATGAACAATAAATTGTGTCCGGAGCGTTATCCAGTGAATAGTATTATTCCTTCCCTGTGTGGTTATTCTTTCTTGTGAACAGACAGAAATGTCTCTACTTTGCTTACTCATAATATGCTCTGCAGATGACTGCCATCAACTCATACACAGAGAATTATACCCTTTTATCACTAAAAGAGGTTCAGTTAAGCGTTACAATGTTATACTTGTTGGTTCAACTTCAGCTTCAGTTCAGAATAGATTGAAGTATTTTACATTATCACTTCTAAAAGTTGGTGAGGAAATGAGCCAACATCTCCAGGAGCAGAGAAGTCAGGAAACATCAAACACCTACTGAACACTTGTCAAACAGCTTTGTGATGACGCTTTGATGTGGTACAACAAAAGTGTAATCAAGACAACAAACGAACCAGTCGTTTCAGTGTTGATTCCATACAACAAAATGGCTGGCATACAGAATCTCAGTATATTTATACTAGAACATATTCAGTACACACTAGAAGTGGTCACACAAACACTTAAAATCTGTTGGCACTTCGCACTTGTTTCATTCTATTCAGGTGCTTGTTAGCACATGTAAGCTGTAGTGATTCATTCATTTCTTGATGAAGAGCTTAACCCTCACACTTTATGATGACTTACACTTGATTGATGAATGCGGTTACAAGGGATAAATTGATAAGCTTCAACACCAAGACCTATACTGGGTGGGAGGAACCAGCCATGGCTTTCCAAGTGATATCTGTCCCTGTTGGTGGAATACAAACTTGGAATACTGAAAACTCACAGGGTGCTGGTCAATCCACATTCGCTGCTTATCACCTATCTAACTCATGAAATGAATGAAAGTTATCTCGTCTCAAAGATGCTTCTCTTCCTCACCTGGTACTCACTTCCCAGGGTGGAAAGAATCACTCTCACCACCGAATTCTATTCATCTAATTAAACCATATCATGATCTTGTCTATTCTCTCTTGCTTTTCTTAGACATAACCCTAAACATGACATGTGAGTACATCTTAAAAGAGTTGGAATTGAAAATGGACTCGACTAATCCGAATTTTTAGCTGTTCAATCAATTTGTGCACTTTTTGGTGGATTATAAATGGTAACATCGTCATGTCCTATTGATCGAATTCTCCACTTTTTAAAACTTCAACACTTCATGGTGGTGGAGTTCACTAACAGCCTATCCCACCCTAGATTCATTCAGTCAACCACATACACATAAGAATTATCATCATCCTGATCGATTATACTGAGTACCGTTCATGGAAAGTAGACAGTGGAATGGTCATATTATTCGATAAGGTGGGGGACGGATGGGTAGAATGTAGAATGTCATTGATATGTACGCGTGTTTACACACTGTTGATCGACCAATCGAATCACTGCACACTTTATTCAGTAAATAGTAATCAGTATGACATTCTACTCCTCAGTCTGCTTTTATTCAACGTTGAAACCGGTGGCAACTTGTTCTTAGATGAATAATAAGCTTACAACAAGGACGACATTCATAGTCTACTTTTAGAACAGATTATAGTGGAAAGGAAGTGACCTGATATTTTTATCCTCGTGCATACTATACACCCCATTTCTTGTAAAACATACACTGCATGGATTCGAATGATTTGTTGCCATCACACAGTCATTCTTATAAAAGCCAACTGAAACAACTCTCTGAGTTAAGGATTGATTCAATGTCGACTTCCAATACGAATATGAGTAAGTGTGAACAACTTCAACCTTCAAGTAAAAGTGTTTTTCCTTTCTTCCAATTTTATCAATAACCTTTATTATCAGTAACTGGAGCACAAAATTCTAGTGTTTATGTTGTTAGTTTAATTATCTCATCAATGTTTGTATAGAATTGATTTGTCTGTTTAGGCGAATGGTCTTGTGTGAAGATGCCTCGATATTGCCTGTGTTTCAGTTTCATACAGTTAGTTGATATCAACAAGTGGGGGAATTCAGTACGTGGGTTACGTCCTATTTGCTACTCGTTGGGTGGATGTACCTACCTCCCAGTGAATGATGTTGTCCACCAAGAGATTGGAACTGAAGGCCGATCGCTTTAAATCTCAGAGCACCATCTAGTAGGTCATCTGATCATGCTGCCTGCTATCCCTCATTCATGTAAACTTCTGGTGTTAACATGAAGTTTGTTAGCTAGCTGGGATTTTCTCATAGTTTTTACCAGTGTATCATTCCCTTATAAAGACCCGCGCTAATTTGACAACATTGATTGAACATATAGTTTCTGTTAGTCGGTTTGATTGTCTAACCCACTGGCTGTTTACAAAATACTTCGAAGTGATTGTTTTAGGAAACTTATCATAAACATGAATTGAAGTTCAGTCCTGCTACCAGACCTTAATAATAATCCTCTCTAGTGGTGGACCAACCCGTTGTGTATATCCTTGATGAGGTGAATTTGCATGAAATCGAATGTGTTTGTTTCTTTCAAATCTGACTGACGTTGAATGAGTATGCTTATATTTTGATTTGAGATAATTCTCAGACATGCAGTCTGGGATATTTTAGAAAGCGCATTTAATTACATGAAGTAGGTACGAAGCAACAGCTAAAGTGTAAGGACAATTGAGGTTCGAAACCCTGACCTACTAGTTGATACCCACCTCCCTAAACCACAGACAAACTGTCCATAGGTTCAGTGAACGGATTATCTGATAACTGATCAGGTCACTTCCGATCAGGAGATTGAGTCATTATGGCATAAGAATGATGGAGGCTTTTTTGAGAGAATGTTATACTTCGCGCAGACTTGGGTCAGATATTCATCGCATATCCCTTCAAATCCTGATTATGGATAATAGTGTTGTAATTATGCACGTCATGGGTCCGCCAAAGTTCACTCCATCCGAAGCAGTGACAAATGGTATGACTTCCTACATCATTACACTCGTACACTGTAAACTGAAATTACACCTAATCTCTCAGTCAGCATAACTACTGCATAAAACGAGAGAACATGGGAAGAATTCTACTGGGAACTCGAGGCAAAGCTCAGGGTGTCACAACATTATCTTGTGGTTCTGTGACCACACATCTTCTTTCAGTTCCCTCCACGCTTTCCTTCATCAGGTTTAACTTTCTTTCGACACTTCGCTGGCTATTCAACTGTTTCCACGTTTTCACTCTGTTGCGGGGGTATGTCTAAGATTGGAAACCACTTCATTTCTTCCAGGTCTCATATACCAAATTATTAAGGGAACATTACGTGATGTCCCAAAATCAACCACACCCCACATAGATGCATAGATGTGACTGATACAATACAGTGAGATTTCGTACCAGTTATGCATTATCCATAATGCAGTGAAAGGTTTAAGCAGGTTTTCATTACTTCAAAGTGTTAGTCAGTCGTTGCTTTCCATCTTCTTCCTTTCAATGACATCGGATATTACAACCTGCCGTGATTCACTGCCTTTGATTTTCCCTCTGCGAAGATGGGTGTGACTTTGAGAATTAGTCATGTTAATGATAGGTGGGCAGTCGTCTTCTTGTTCTCTAGTTGTCTTGATGTCGCAGTTTGTGCAGCCAAATATTCAGATACTTTCTATGGTTGTTGTCAAGGTAGCTTTCACACTTGTGTCCTACTAACTGGAATTTCTTATTTGCGTCCAAGAAACATAAATGCTTTACGCTAATTTCAAATCGTTTTGAACAGTCAATTGCTGTCAGTGTCGCCTTCATGTTGGTGGAGCTGAGGTTGTATATTTCTGCATATCAGAAGGGTTGGTTTGTGTATTTACACGACTTATGAAGCTTGATCAGAATTCTTCTTCCAAACCAATGTGAAGGTAAATGCCGAACCTAATGTGCATTCTCAGGCAGTTTTAAGGTGTTTAGTTCATTGTTGCTCGACTAACTGTAAGCATTTCTGATAACAGTCAGTGTGAAAATGGTAAGATTCTTCTCCAAACTTCAAATGAAATATCTTGGACCAGGTAGATTTCAGCATTTATACAAAATTCGTCATGGCTCATTGCATTTTGCTCATCTGTTTCATTGAGTGGACCTGTCTTATTTTACTGACACTATACTACTGAAGTGTACCTCCACGGTTATCCTCGATCTGCACATACATTCCATAAACTGTGGTGTTATCAAGGGTGTACTGAGCTGTATTCTCTTCCAGAACATGTTACACGGAAGGGGTATTTGAAAGCATACTGCAATCGGTATTAGTTTCTGAATGCGGTTTTCCAATGTATTTGGCAAACTCGTGTTGCTCGCCAACAGTTAAAGCTGTCATGATCTCTTCCAAGATTATGCCCTGCATAGAAGGTAAAAATGTCATCCTCCACTTTCCCACGTTGATGGATAACTGTACTTCGGTAAGGAACACGCCCTCTTCAAACTAGGACTGCATTTAATTAGGAATTTAAAGGCTGAGTTACAGACCTTCATAGACAATGCTACTGTAGGTTAGTGCACTGGAATTCATTACAAATCTCTACCATGATATAAATTTAGGAGATCGACGTCGCTGGAACAAAGAGAGTTTTTTAGAAGCAACTGAGCGTCAATGACTGCCATTTAGTTAAACAACAATCGACACGTGTCACCTAAGCCATGAAGCTTGCCGCCTACCTGGCCATGGCTGACGCCTACATTTGGTAGACAATTTCAAGGAAATTTAACATAGAACACAATGTTAATAATGAGGTCATGATAGATATTCACAAACTGAAGATCAAGAATTTATCCACAAACGATTTTAGGCCACTCACTGATTAAGAGTAAGTAGTGTACCACCGAAGTGAAAATATTTCATTGACCTGAGTTTCGCCTTCCGTTTATTTAAATTTGCCCGTATTGTGAAAATGTTTGCGAGTTTTGCTCCGCGTTTCCCTGAGAAATTGTTGACTGTGTGCCTGACAATACTCGAAGATACCACACACGTTTCATGTCTCCTGGCCTACCTGACTTCATGAGGATCAAAGTTATATGTGAATATGATAGCTAACCCCCACAGTGATGAGTTTTATTTGAAATGACTGAAATGACTTTTTGTTCGACTGTCGGTCAGCAGTGGGAGGGCTGTAACATTGTGATGCAAAAGATGATGAAGATCATGTGAATGTGATGTGTGGACGTGAATCAAGTTATCTGCTGGTATGTATCCCTTGTTATTCACTGTGTAAAGAGTGTCAGTTCTGTACTTCACTTCTGTTGAATGGATGTACTAGTAAGCAAAACTGTCAGATAACGCCGAATGCATACTTGAGCTAAGTACTCTGTCCATGTCACTTGCAGTTTTCAGTGTGCAAGTTTCTCAGAGGCACGAAATCAGATAAGCGCTATCTTTTCACACAGCTTGCTAACTGACTTGATCTCCGTTCACCATCTCGATGGTGGTATAAGCATAAAGTCGCGTTGCAGCTAGACAAGTCAGCTTCCACACCGGTGAGCTGAAGATCACAGAGAAATTTGGAGACAAACTTCAATGCAATTCTGTCTCAGTTGAATGCATCCAAGAATACAGTAGGCAAGAAGGCAATCACTGTTCAACTCCATTCGGTTATTTCAGAGTATCATACCAACAGAAGTGAATTTGATACTGTTCCAGTCTCCAATGTCAGATGAGCAAATTAACACCCACTTTTCAGTGGATACATTTTTTCAACCTGTCGTCTATCAGTGTAACCAGTCTTAGCATGATTATCAGTGAGTAGGTGTGGATTAAGTCCCTGGAAGAGATTGAGATTGCTGTTGCATAAAGAGTCATAGAATAGGAAACAGATTTCCACCTCAGCTATGACTATCTGTGATACTTTACAAAAAGCTATTTCATTCAATAGAAGTTTTCACTGGTGGAAGACAGTCATGCTACTGATTGGAGTGATAATGTAGAAAGCACCTATTAGTAAAATGAAGTAAATCCCACCAGAAAATGTTTGTCAACCAGATTCCATCCAGGGCTTTGTCGATTTGAAGACTGTTTCATGGATGATGAGGGTGAGTAGGTAGTAAACACCATTGAGGTGTGGGAAGAAGGACTTACACTAGTCCTTCATTATTAGACTCTTTTCACTATGATTCATTTTCGAGGGAATTCACTTGCATTTGTGTATAGTAGTGCAAGTATGTTGCAGTAATCACCTTGATTTGATTCGCAGTTATGATTTACTAACAGACCATAACTGTTTGTATGGATTATTGATGGACAGCGGAATTTGTGACTCATGTTGCAGCCCATTTTGGATCCAGTAGATGAATGTTTACTCTTCACATGGGGCTTCAAATTACAGTGTTATCCAATAGGCCAGCAATGCACATTGGTCCCTTCTTATGCGACAGGCATAACACAGTGTCGATATTCTAGACTGTAAATATCCGACGTTGACTGGGCTGCAACAACAGAGATTCACAACCCATAACGTCAAAAGTGTTTCTATCCACTTTCACTACTGACCAATTCTCTGTATACTTCCAGTGGATTGAAATGTGTTTATATTATCTGATATGTGTAGTCTCCAGTTGCTATACTGGGTTGAATTGTTCGACTTCTGTTGGGTGATGGATTCCTATGCGGTTGCCTCTATACTCCCACGATTACTCATTATGTTTTAATCTGCTTAGTGGCTAGTAGTGAAATCGAGGACGCACCTTTCTACTTATTCGGGACTCACTTGCTGGATGATGCTGTTCCCACTCAGACTTGACCGTAGTACTCATCGCTCGAAAAGCGGAGGCATTATCCATTATTCCATGAATGTATAATCTGATGTTGCAGGTTATAAGTAATCAACAAGAAGCCCCCTGAACAACACTAAATGGATCCTTTTTATTTTCTCCTGATGTTTTCAGTTTCCTCAAGGAGAATTCTCACTGGAAATTGATTGATGAGGGTCAAAATGTTTTGTGTGTGTGTGTGTGTCACGTATTACTCTGAAAACTAATCTGCTTCCCCTTACCATAACATTCCCTACCACCCATTCGATATCTATCCTTAGTTGCGTTAACTTTAACTCTGATCGATACTCGGTCAACTGGAGTGCACTTAGTGAAAAGTTTTGATTTCCTCAATAAAGTGCACTGGAAACGGTATTGCTTTTCTTGAATGAAATTTCTTCCATATATGTACGTACCACATTACATGTGTGCCTAAATCTTCTCTATGAAATGATCGATTTCATTAATCCTGGTGCTTGTAGGCGTATTTCAGGTGTTGATATACATTCTGAGGTTTTTGAAGTATCTCATAACTTTCAGTACACAGATGATTCTGTGTGTGTGTGTGTGTGTGTGTGTGTGTGGAAGACGCTCTAAGTTTGTCAGTTTGAATTTAGACAACAAATGTGAAGTGAAGCGCTTTATGTGATTAGTATTTATTGGGAGAATGGAGAGGGATGAGATGACTTCATAAACTGCATAACTGAGAGTGTTTAAAGGTATACGGCTGTTCCTTGGTGAGATTATGCCAGACAGATAGGCATTGGTGGTGTTTGTGGATGGAACGAGGACTTGGACCACTCAGGTCCTCGAACCAGCAGCCCTGAAGTGTAATATTGTCATGATGTAGTGAGGTGTATAAATGGTAAAATACACTGGTCAGCTGATGATCGACAGTCTACCCCTGTGTTGTTGGTTGTCAGCAATTATGCAGGCTATTTGTTTTTATTCGTTTACAGGAGGATGCATAAAGAAATGCTTATCTGGACGAACAAGAGGTTCAGGGGCTACTGAAGACTGACCGAAAGATACAATAACTTTGTTTACACAAAAGTGGGTGACTCATTCGCAAACGGTTGTATTCGAGTTTGCATTTCTCCACTGAATGAAGCATGCTCCGAAATCACAAATGTGTTAACTTTCCACCAGTCGGCATTGAATATGTTACAACTTCAGTAACGAGTTGAGGTGCAAAGTGAAAAGCACTGACAGACTGAAAGAATCAACGCGAAACCTCACATACAATCTGAATATAAAGGTTAGTGTGAATATTCAAGCTTTAGGGGATGTCAAGCAGTGAACACATCTGCGCCAATCTGACCGGTTCTCTGTCATGTCACAAACAGTCCTCAACCACTGGTCGCTTTCGTCTCAGGGATCCCAACGAGGCAGTCCACACCTCCTCACACTGCTGCAGACAACAATCAGAGATTTCATGGACTGGCGCCATGTCTTGATCTGACCACGCCGAACCGTTTCTCATCTTAATCCAACTCCCACTAACCTGAAACATCGGGGTAGGCAATGACTCGGCATGCACAGTGCATGTTCAAAGCGTCTCAGTCGACGAGGATTTAAAGCCTCATCAATCAACCTGTCTGTCTTGCCTACCATCTTTTGCATGACCTCAACATTGCTCAAACAGTAACTCCACCATGCCCGAGCAATGCTACGAAGATATTTGTGATAATAAATCTGTAACTGCCTCATATGTGAATGCACAACACATGAATAGCAGGACATCAGTGGAAAACATCCAAGCAACAGGTTTAGACAATGAAGATAATGTAGTGTCACTTGAGAGTGTCTAGTAGTCGAACAATCATTCATTATGTTTCCTCCAATATGAATGAGACTAGTCAGTTGGATTTGACTACATCCATATTTGTTGTCGTCACTGAAATACAAATCCAACTTCATTTATCTTTGATACATATCATTATCAAACAGTAACCTTGCTCATTCCTTCTCAGCTGATTGCAAACTCATCACAACAGTTTTCAAAGTCGAACAGGTTGAATTGCAGACACTGCACTCCAGTGCTTTTATTGAAACAATTTTCTCTCGTAAAAGTAGATTTACATCCAATGACACCATGGAATCAACTTCACCATGTTTGGTTTTCTTCTTCTCTTGCAGATGAAAATTATGATGCTACATCATACCGATTCAACTTTATATCAAACCTTCACCAATGTTTCATGGGAAGAAATTTCTTCAACCGGGAACAGCATCTACTACAAATGCTACTACGAGAGCCATTGGGAGACCATGTCTGGCTGGCACACAGACACAACAGCAAGACCATACACTGCCAACTGCAGGTTCATCATCATCAAGTGCTGTTCACAGTGAAAGAAATTCTCAGCTGGCTAGGTTACGTCAACTGCAACAGCTATATCAGAGACTGGCTGTTTTATCCGCAATAAAGAGTGAGAAGGTAGAGGGAAAAAGTGAGTTGAGGTTGTCAACTTATTGTTTATCCATGCCAGTTAGTGTTAGAGCTGTGGTTGTGGATTCTCTCTCGACTGACGTGTACTATCACAAGGAGGTAAACAGTTTGTAGTACTGACAGGCTTGAATCAAACATTGTTTCTTTTCAAATGGAAAACATGTTATTGCTGAGTTCAGATGAGTATTACATGCCATTCCTGTGTAGTTAATGAAGGCGATCAGGGTGTTTGAGAGTGGTTATATTGTCTAACGCCAATGATTGACGAAAATGAACTGGAGGAGATTGCCCCCTCAACTGATTAACCTTGTTCAATGTATTCCGGTCCAGTTATTGTTAGTTTAGTAGTCGAATTTAATGTAGCCTCCCCACAAGTTTTTGAATCAGGATTAGCTTAAGTTCTAATTGTAATAAACGACTTCTCAGTACTGCTCTAATGCATCCATCCACAACATTTCCAATGGAATTCATTCATTTAACATTCATGCAGAGCACAATAATAGTGAGAACTTGATAAACAACCGAAGACAAGAAAATTCATTGTTGCCTTCAAACTGTAATCAGTCTATCAATTTCATCAGAGAGGTGGATGGTGACGACTTAAAGACGAATTCGTTTTCCGAAGCATCATCTATGACTTTGAGTTATTTCACTCTGTGGATTGTTTTGTGTTGAACTGAGCCACAGCCTAATAATGCTGCTTCGAGATGTCAAATGTCAAATGGAGGTCTCTTCGCAACATTGTCAACCCATAGGTTTAGGTAGCAGTTTGACTGGACAAGTTTGTCCAATCACCTTCTAATCAAACTAAATCCACCATCTTTACTTTTCTTCTTCTCTATAGATGACAAAAATGATGCCACATCATATCGATTCAATTTCACATCAAACCATTTACCGACATTCCATGGAGAGAAAGTTCTTCAATTGGGAAGGGCATTCCCTGCAAGTACTTCAAATGCATCATTCCTGGCTGATATAGAAAAAGCTGCAATGATGTATAGAAATGCAGCAGGTAAGCCTTGTTAGTGATAATTATAAATTGAAAAGAATAGTTTTCCTACAGACTGTCTATTGGAAGTTAGAGTAAGCAAACATCATATCTGGGATTAGCTGAGATGAGAAGATGAGATAACATTCTTCATATGTGGAGAGAATGAAAAATAACTGGGACAAATGTGAGAGTAAAACTTGGGCACTATGGTAGAATGCGATTAATTCCATGTTAGTTGACAAGTTAGATCTATCTGATAGTGAAGGCGTAGCACTCACTATGTACTGGATCACGTTTCGGACACAATTTATTGTTCACAGTCATATCAGGTAACTCCAGAACTCTGAGACATGATGTATAACGTTCTCATTTTCTTACCTTCTGTGGGACATGGATAGTGGAATCTTCCATATATGGTGAACAATTAGTGAGTCATTCCTGTTGTCGGTGTTGATTCGACAGACAACGATTCGTTCATTACCCCTCCCTTCCCTCCACCAATCAAACTAATCCAACCACACAATCAGATAGGAGAAAATCAGAAGTATATAAATCATTTCCATGACTGTGGAGTTATCTTGGTACGACTAGGAACAATGAATTATGTCGGAAACGTGATCCAGTAAATAATGCTGATCCCTCAACTGTGTGATTCAGTTGTTCAGATGAACAGCTGTACTATATCTCATTCAAACTGTGAACAGTTGTTTGCTAGCTGATATCTAATGGTTAGCGTCTGCATGACGTCTGTTTTGGTTGATGACAAATGAACCACCAGTATTGGTCAATTGATATGATGTAGCGATCTCCTGTCTAAGCCACTATGGAAATGGTGAGAGAAGCAGCTAAATAGAATGGGCCATCATGAACTGTATAGTTTGATGATTATACATTCACATGACAGTTGAAACATATGACTGCCTCACAGATTGCATGATTCCATTGCGTGTCTATCTGGTGTGATGCAAAGATTTTATGTGGACGTCACACAGTTGAGAAGTGTATATGCTGACTGATCACTGGAGAACAACTACTTCAGTGTTTACTAGTCCTACCTCCTGGCTGAAATCTCACAAACACCTTTGGAATATGATCAGGAAACCATGAGATTCAGGGTGATGGTACACTTGAATTGTTCCCAGGTGATTGGAGGCAGTTGAGGTAGGAAGCCCCTGTTGAGATTGGTTGCCTGCTCGTCACCGATCCTCAACGAAACATATCTGCAATTTCAAGGGAACTGATGTCCACTGAGCTATTCAGTGGTAGTGCAGATAGGCTTTGTTGATGAGTGTCAATCAGCTCAAAACTGAGGTGAAGTAGAGCTATCTGCTGGTTACATCCATCCATCCATGTAGGAAGAATGCAGTTTTGAAAATGTCCACAAGTAATTCATGACTGAGATATCTCAACATTGGTAGGACTGTAGGTAGCCATTGAACTTCTTGTGTTTGAAATCTCGACATTTATAGTATTCGTGTGATAAGGTCATTGTTGCTGAAGATAGTTCACATTTCTTTCAAACTACTTTTGACCGACTTAACTACATTTGCCAAATTCTCATCCAATTCATCATTAGGAAGGACATCTGTTTCCAAGTTTGTGTATTATTGAAAGTAACCAAATATTACTTATCTGTCTTTCTTAGGTAAGGCCTCAGAGACGAGTGATGCAGTCTACCATTGGTCAGGAAAACTGCCAGTTCGAGCCCGTAGAACTATGACATTTTCACGGAAAGTCTTTCTTGGTGGTATACCATGGGATAGTACAAGTGAAGAGCTAGTCAGAATCTTTTCTCGATTTGGCAGTGTGACTATATGCTGGCCACAGAAGGATGCAATGCAATCCAGCAATACAAACACTGAACCTTCTACAACCAAAGGTAGGCACAGTGAGTGTCAACGTGTAGATATACCCTGAAATTACTTTATAACTAGATGAAGGAGGATGATTTTGATGGTGTTGTGTTCTTTCTCTGAGCTACATGGTTTACTGGTGAACAGACAGAATATGCACCAACCAAGAATGAGACCATCCAGTTCAGAGACCACAACATGAAATTGTATGTTATTGCATTTAATTTCTCGTCGTTGATTCGACTGAATCACTCTGTTCCAACCTGCATATAGGCTCCTTTGAGGATGCCTTGATGCTGCTCGTGGTTTCAGTCTGATGTTATGGATGGATAGTAGGTCGCAGTGGAATCCGGGATGAGTGTTGTCCTACACAGGACTCATCAACTGGATGTGCCTGGATCCCAGTTAGTGATGTTTTTGACACTAGAACTCGAACCACTGCTTGCTACTGTTCATCATTACTATCAATACTCAAATTTTGTCTGTTTCTCCTCACCTTCATTAAATTTACAAAAATTGATATTTCAGGTTATTGCTACTTGATATTCGATCATGAGGTCAGTGTGTCTCAACTGCTTGCAAAATGTGCTCACAATTCAGCTACAGGTGGAGACTTTTACAAAATTTCAAGTCCGAAATTCCCATCTAAAGATGTACAGGTTGGTACATTTTTGGAGATTTGATTTATCAGTTTCCAAATTGTTTATGAAAATGAATTACAGCACAATTGTGAACAAAGATAAGTTTAAAACTTGATGTCTTGTTGTGTTAGAGAAGGTAGGCACAAGATGATATTGTCACAGGTAGATTGAGATATCCATCTAGCTGTGGTGTGAGTAGCCGAGTTCCTCATGACTGCACTGATGTGCAGTCCTTGAAAGTGTGTATTTATTTGCTGTTGAGTTGTTTTGGAAGCCTTGTTAAGCCGATGGGACTAACTAACTCTTCGAGTTGAATGCTCATCGAAAGTTATTGTATATTGAAAAGAAGTGGTATTTTGAGAGTAGTTATGCAGTGAGTTGAAATCTGTCTTGCTGCATCTATTGACTCGGTGCTGTGGTAACTGAGGCATGGATTCAATTAATGACCGAGTCCTAAATTACCTTGATCAAGACGTTCACTCCACAGCTAAGAAGAAGAAATATTTCTCAAAGATATGGCAGACAACCACTACCATAAACGTTGTATAACCGCTACACATCACTTGGTACTCAGGTTAAACGAGTCATGAAAATACATTGACAACATTGTCAACTGCTGCGGAAGGATTGAGTCATGAATGTTGTTCTTCTGCATTATGTTATACCAAGAGTTAAACATTTTCAATAATCTTGGATTTTTTATGTGATGTGGTACACCGTGAGTGATACAGTATTATTTACTGGACGACATTTACATCACAATTTATTGCTCATAGTCATTCAGATCATCAAGTAAACGATACGGTATCACTGTGTGCAATATCATATTGACATTCTCATATAGAATTATGCTCTACAATGGTGCCAAGATGTATACACCCACATGAAAAGATGCTGTTGTCGAGAAAACAATGCAACCTCTTCCATGACAAATTGAAATGCAGGACGTGAGCACATTTAATTCTTTGTGCACCTCACATCTGTCTACTGTATCAGTAAGCTTTTCTGTGATAGTTTCCCTCACCTTCCTAGATTAAACATTCTGAGCTTATTGGTTAATGGTAATACTAGCATTTCGGTTCGTGATATAATCACCTTGGTATTGTGATGATATCCTTTTGATTGTAACCTACTAGTTCAGTAGCTGCGCATTTCATCCTGTATGACACATTTCAGCTATTTATAAATGGCTTCAAGTTGGTGTCCTCACAAATTTCTAGGTCTAGAACTCATTACTTTTTGACACCAGGAGGTCATCATGTAAAGTAGATAATGAGAACTATGGGAATACTGATGCACCCTTACACAGTGTCCATGTTGGCAGCATAAGGGATGGTATTCGTGAGTTTCGAGTGATAGACACCGGTCCTGAATACCAGCTGAAAAGACAACACCATTTCTTGTTCACTCCATCGCCTAGTCGTTTGAAAGCATGAAATCTACTTCACGAAGTGTACTGCTGACCATCTCCAAAGATATGAAACGGTTATGGAAGAAAGATCATAGCAGAAATAGTCAACCATGCATATAAGCATTTAAGAGGCAAACAAAATATAACCTGAGGAAGCATAAGTCCACCTAAATGTACTCAACCTTCTGGTTATATGAGCTGAAACAATGCGGCATACACCGATTGCTTCACATATTCGAAGTCTACACTCATTCAGACATTTTTCTGTTCAGTTTTCCTGTTTGAAAATTGTAAAATTGGTCATTCCACTCCACATAGATTGATATACACCCAGTAATTGGTTCATTCACTCAAATCAAGACATCTGAATTCACTGTTGAAAAGTATTAGTGCTACATTGGCATCTCATGATTCTCTCCACAGAATTTAACAGAACGCTTCATACAAGTCAAAGCCAAGGTCTGTCTCATCAGTTACTCACTCCAATGTTTCAGGTAATCTGTTCAGATAAAAGTTTAATCCGCTTACTTTGGTCACGGTAACCAGATGATATCATTAGTGCTCATACATTAAGGAGGGGTGAGTGACTCATAGGTGAGATCACAGGGTTGTACTGGTGAGCTGACTAGCAAATGAGGGAAGAGACAGCACTGTGAACAATAATTGTTGAACAAGTGAGAAGGGATCGAAATTCCATGTGGTAAGGCAATGTAGGAAGAGGACATATTAAGTTTTCGATAAAAATTAGCTCTGTGTGATGTTTGAAAATGCAACCTCAACCAGAAAATAACTGACATCAATTTAGCCAGTCCTGGTTGGTCACGTTATTGGGACAGAGAAGGTAAAAGCCGAATGAGACACACATGTAAATTAGTGGGGAAAACGTAAGTGTTAGGGACGTGTTAGTGCATAATGGTCCCAAAAACAAACATTAATAGGATGAGATGTTACATTACTGAATCCGATAATTTGAATATCACTGATATCGAAGAATGAGGAACTGTGGAAACATGAATATCGTTATAAAGTTATTTCACTACTTTGGCAGACCTATAAGCAAGAGATTGTGCTCAAAACGTTATCCAGTAAATGACAAAGGGATGGTTGGCAAGTAAATAAAAGAACGTGTGAAGTGTGATCTACAACAGAACACAAAATCTACTCTTATATGACTGGTTTCTACTTGGAACTGGATCTGAGACCGGAAAACTGTACACGGTGGTTCGTCATGAATATGGCCAGTAATTATGATTATTATTATTACTATCCTATGTGGTCAGTGCAACGAACCAAACATGAACCTATCGCCCAACAAATATGCAGAAGGAAGTGGAGATGGGTTGGATTGGATTGAACATGAACTGAGAAGACCGTTTGTGGATATTACGCTCCAGCCTAGGCTAGGCCAGGCCAGGCCCTTGAATGGAACCCAAGTCGGAAACGATGAGTTGGGTGTCCGAGATTAACATGGGGGAGATCGTGTGTGGAAGAAATGAAAGCTAATTGGCAGTCATGGAGTCAGGTTGAAAAGAGTGCAGAGAAGAGAGTGAAATGGCGACATGCTACTGAAGCCGTATGTTCCACTAGGAACCCGTAGGAAAAAAAAAAAAAAAAAAAAAAAAAAAAAAAAAAAAAAAAAAAAAAAAAAAAAAAAAAAAAAAAAAAAAAAAAAAAAAAAAAAAAAAAAAAAAAAAAAAAAAAAAAAAAAAAAAAAAAAAAAAAAAAAAAAAAAGGAAATGAATGAAATTCAGTTAAAATATTCAAGTTTTTAAACAGTAGGAATGCATACAAATTCATAGTTGTTATAGACCCTGAGTCACATTATAATGAGTCTCCAATCATTGATGCTTATCACCTCAAGGAGCCCAGCCAGATCACGTTCACATGCCTACACGACTCAGACTACTATTTGGAGACCACATGGATTGCCAACATGCCTTGGTCTATGCACACTTTGCCTTCTCCCTATTCACTTCTTTTCCAAATTATATCATAAGCTGAGGTTAGCAGTGGCTTGGCGCGTACACCACCTACCCAATCCATCTCAGTTGTTACAAGTTTACAAACTTATTGAATAACCAACCTTCCTTGCCGAATAGTCAATGGCTACCCTCAATATTCTTCCTATGGTGGTTCTATCGTAGGTGAGCTGGATTACGAAGGCATCTGTGATAGAGAACCTGTAACCTCCTCCTGTCTTTCACATTCCACAGCCACATCCAGTGGCCAAACAACAAGACAGAATGGATGTTACACTATGACACTGAATGGTACAACGTTTTCTTGGTGGATTTTGAAAGTAACAAATACTTATTTGAAAGCAAGTGTCAGACTTTAGTTTTCATTACTTTCCAGGTGATACCATGGGTTATCAGTGACAGTTGTTACACAAAGTCAACTTCAATTGTCATGAACATGGAACTAGTAGTGTTTGTTGGAGCACTTCATGCCTTGATCACTGCAGAAATGCTTGCAAACATCATGAATGACTTATTTGGGAACGTTGTTTTTGCTGCCCTGGATACAGACAAGTACAAATATCCTATTGGTGAGTGTTTTCCAATCACTAACTATTACCCTTTGATGAGATTTTGCCTACATGGCTGACAGTGTGGGTAAGTTGGAGGCTGAAGAGTTGGGAGATCAACCTGGGACCTGTCACAGAAGTGCACTGATTCACAGTAATAAACAGAGAAACATTCAGAATGAAAAGATTCACGATCAGTGAATAAAGTGTGTTTTAGTTGTGAGTAGAGATGGACGAATGTAAATGATTATGTTCAAGACTTCAAAGGTGACACGTGACATCAAGATTCTTCAACATTTGCTTTATGTGGTCATGCAAACCCCAATCAGACAGCTTACACCACTCAAATCAACATTCGAAGACCTCATAAAGTGGTGCTACATATTGACCTGACCATCCTAAGGCTTCTTTCAACCCGATCATTCTTCAGTTAGTATTCTATATACAGGTAGTCGGTGCCTCAGTGTGTGTAAGACATATCCAAGCGACATCCGCTGATGAATATTAGCAGCTCCATCATCTTGATTACTATCTACGTCTTGTATCCTACGCAGAACCACGACATTCTTAGCCCGAGATCCTACCATATGCAAACAGTACTGCAAAGACATTTATTGTGAAATAACTTTCACAGTCATATAACACAACACAATAAACTGCCCTGTAGGATACCACTTCGTTACTAGGCAGTCGGGAATCTAGATGACACTAGAGATGGCGTAAGGTGGCAATAGCCGAACTCATCTTTTGTATCTCGGCTGATATCATGTCGAAAATCGAGTGATTCGGGCTGATGTAAGTCTCTAATTAAATGAAGTGGTCAACACTTCCAACCACTTCACTGCCTATCCATAAACTGAGTTGCAAACGACTACTGAAGCATCACTCATATTCCACAGGTCTGAAACTCATGCCAAACATAACCAGAACTTTTCTCAATATGTGCAGAATACTTTGCATTTTGTCAACGTTTTTGCCTAACAGGATGATGTCGTCCATGTACTCCTAGTGAACCAAGTTACCTTCGGAGAGTGAGTTAGTTCCTTAGGAGTCTTTGATGCATAGGTTTATATTCAACTGCACTTCTATGGTAAGGTTAAATAATGATAGTGACAGTGGTACCCCTGCCGATGATTCACCACATGGCAACTCCCCACCGTTCACAGCATACACACTGTTTCTACTATTGCCTGTGCGAGAAAGGTGGACAGTTTTCCGGGGATGCAGAACCTGTAGGACATGTGCTTGAAGATAGTCACACACGGTGCATTGTGAAGATTGAGATCTTAGTTAGTATACATTTAATTTAGTTCAAAATCAACGTATATCACAGGTAATAGAAGACTGTGTGACAGATCATGTAGGTTGTTTCACTATGTCCAGTTCGAAATGGTAGTGCCTATCCTCTGATCTGCTACTCCGCTGCTGAATAGAGATTAGTTTCGGGCATGTGCCATCACAAATGAATGGAAATTTAATAAAACCCAAAACCGCCTGCAATGAAACAGACCTATAAAAGTACTCTGATTTTTCAGCACACAAATTGTCGGTGTGTGGACATGAATCTACCTAGTCTAGTTGAATGACTTAGTATGCTTCATATATTTAAGAATTCCTAAAGCGCTGATGTATGTTTGCCTTTTGAGGATCAAAACACTTACAAAATCAAATCAACCTGAGGATAATTCTGCTTAGTTTCTTCTGTGATCTATCGTAAAATGTGTTCTGCAAGATTTAGAAGTTGGATGATGCAGATCCCTTTAAGAATATTGTAATTCTTATCTGAGTAGTTGTCCATATCATGCAAGTAACCCAGTGTATATTTTGTATTCATCCTCAAGGTTCTGGGAGTGTAGCATTTTCTAGTCAAGAAAGTTATATGAAAGCGATTGCAGCCAATTTTGTTGACATTCGTACCCCGAAATTTGTCAAGACAATACAAATCGATCCATATCTACAACATTCATTGTGTGATCATTGTTATGGTAATCCTGGAATTTATTTTTGTAGAGCATTTGAGTGTTTCAGTTATTTCTGTCCAAGATGTTGGCAACTAATGCATAATCGAAAAGAGATGCTCAAATCACATAAGCCTGTAAGGCGTACATTCAAGTCAAACAATGATCATATTTTATCGACTACTATGACATTAAGTAGATGCTGAGGTCAGTGAACATTATTATCTGTCATTTTTGTTGTGGTTCCCGTTGTTAATAGTGATGAAGATCTTGAAGTACACTCTATCATCTTGTTTCTTTCAATACACTAGTTAGTATTTCTACTTTTTACCTAGCCTTGAAATTATATCTCTTCGAGTAATATTTCCTCTTTTATAATGCAGTTTCTAATAACTCTACTTCTATTCCACTGAATGTTTTAAATGCCTTTTAACTAGACATCTGTGGAGAAGTCAAGTAATACATCATCTTCTGTTTTCTTTCATTAATAATACTGGTGATAATAATATGTAATCTTAGGTAATTATGACTATTACCACTTTTGTTCATCCTATACACCTCCATCTGTCTATCCATCGTCTAGTTGAGTTGTATATTTCAGTTGATGAATGAGAATGAACAGGGAGGATTTTATAGTTGAATACGAAGCTGTGAATTAACCTACTCACATCACTTTTTACACAACAAAACTGTTTCTAAACACTTTTATCAATTGCAATGATGCAACAACGTTCTCTTAGCTTGATATTTCTTTACTTATACTTATTGTTTCGTTTTAATAAAATATTAAGTTTTTAGTTACATATGTACTTGTTGTGATCATCTTCTGTGGTGTTTTCGCGTTTACAATCATTGGTCTTCCAACTTTCATTACGATTGTCTACCAGTCATCATCTAATTTAGAACCTACTGACGTCTCCGGTATGCTATTTTATTGGTAAGACGAGGTGCAAGAACGCCAACATGTGAATTCAGTAAGCTAAGAGTTATGAAGAACGAGGTGTTCGGTTGGATTTTCTTTCCCACTTTCAAATATCCACATCAATTAATCGGTTTCACAGTTGATACTGAATAGAAGTGGATGAGAGACCACAGGACCTAGTTTATCTACTGAGAATGAAGATGTAGACAGTTTTCTACTAAACTGATTTTCTTCTTCCAACTGTTTAGCATTTCTGGCACTGTGACTACTTATGTATTCTGCATAGACAAGTTGACTCACAGTATTGTTGATTTCAGAGGGAAACTGGCAAGAATTTGTTACATGGTATGAATACCTGTTAATATCTCCTGAATAGGATTAGTTTCTCAATTATGCTATCGACGTTCGTCTCTCCTTGACATGTTTATGCAGACGGTCACTGGTCACTGGTGGTGAATAAACTTGAGAAGACTGGATGATTAACTTGACTGATAGAACGGTTGACTGGTAAAGTATGTTAAGACAAGATCTCTGCTTCCTTGTTCATTTCATGGAAGGTGTCAGACAAGGCTATTTCGTTCACAACGATTACAAATATCATGTTGCTATTCATCACGGAGTGACATCAGTTGGAGAACCAATAGAAATCTGGAAGCCCAAGATAGCTGTTTCATCCCCAGCAGTGTTCACCCTGTGACCCTGATTTGTATGATTGAAAATAAGTTATTTTTGACATTCATACGGAAGTAGAATTAATCAAAATCTTGAGGATATGATATTCTAGTGTGACTGTATATGACAGCTTCATAGGCAATCTAGTCAAATTATCATTGCCCAAACTCTCATAAATATTTCCACAATATACCTTTGTACAGAAACAACTCTTCACTCCATTACATCATGATACTATTACAATGGCTTATTTCTCATGGTTGAAAGGATAATCGTTAGACGTAACTTTAATATTTCCACCTTATTATGACATTCCATTTGCCCTACTGAATAATTATAGCCACGGTAGGTAACAACAAAGTCATTTTGACTATAGCTGCAACTTTGGTAGTTTATAGAAGATCACTTTAAGCTATAGGTATGAAACAATAACCTGCAGGCTGGATGAAACACTGTTAGAACGCTTGAAGAGTATTGCTTAAAATATAACTGATGAGTGAATTGTCGTACAAAGTAAGCACATTGGTTGATCGAAACATACTTGAAGAAACTTCATGTCTTTCTTTTTCTCTGTCTATTGTAGTAGGTACAATCGTTGAAAAGTTGTTTCTTTCGATGAATGCAGCAACCTTATATCATGATGTGAAGAAAGACAAAGTAATCTGGAAATCTTATGTGATATGCACCTTGACAAAATTCCAGTCACACACCAGAGAAGCACCTGATTTTGGTTTCTTAGCTGAATCATCTCAAGATTGGTTAAATTCACTATGAGGCACTAAAGACTCCTTTTGTGAACAGTATCCCTGTCAACTAACCGGTGAGTCCTGTGGTATAAGAAGAAGTTGAAAACTTGGTCGATAAACATTGTTTAGCACTGAGCACAAAAGCTTAGGCATCTGTATTGCTTGCCTTGTTGTGATGAGTTTGTGTAAGTAGTACAGTCGGTGATGGTAGATAGGATGTTTTCCACTGTCAAAAAGCGTATCTCTCGCTCCTCTT